GGAACCAGCCCTACCAACACCTCCACCTTGGGCTTCCAACCCCCAGGACGGACACGATAAGTTTCTCTTGTTTAAGCTGGCTAGTCCGGGTCACAGCGCTTGCAAATGAGGACGGGGACAGCGTGCCCATCAGCTGGCTGAGAAGCCTCAGAGGCAGACCCAGGCGGCAACTGCCTGTACAGAAGAACGGAAACTGCAAAACATCAGGAGCCCCAAGGAGCTGAACTCAGGCGGGGAGGCCGAGAGGCTGCGGCTGGCCATCCACGGAACACGGAGGCCTGGCTCTGGGAGAGCCCGCAACCCTGCTGCGTGCTCGGGAGCATCGGCCCCAGGCAAAGTTGAGGTCACAGAAGGCGAGGGGAGGGAGGGGGCCTGCAGAAGAAGGAAGGGGCAGCCCCCCAACTGTCCTGCAGCTCACCCCCTCCCCGCACCCTGTTGCATGGTCTAACGGAGAGAAAGCGCACGGGCAATGGCTCAAAGCAGAAATGGGGTCTGCAGGGCCCAGCATGACGGGGGAGGGAAGGGGGGAAGCGGAGGGGCCAAAAGTACGTAGCTGGCACAACCCTCTTCACTCACATTGCTGCCTCAGGTGCAGACTAGGTGTTCGCGAGCTTCACCTGCCTCACTGACCTTACACACGGACTTTAGATATTTAGACAACGGTCTGGTTTGTCTTTCCTTCACCCATAGCACGAGAAATTGTCCACTTTTTACATGGTCCCCCACAAATGTTTGCTAAGTAGGGAATAAATGGAAAAATAAAAGAGGGGAAAAAGAAGGAAGGAATGAAGGAATGAAGAAAGAAGGAAGGAAGGAGAGAGGGAGGAAGCAGGGAAGGTGGGAGGGAGGAAGGGGGGGAGAGGGAGAATGAGAGGGAGGGAGGAAGGACGGGGAAGGAGGGAGGCAGGTGGCCTCACATCCAACCTGACTGGTGTCCTTGGAAGGAGAGGTTGGAGCTGGAGAGACACTGGGAGTGTGGGCGCTGAGAAAAGATTACAGGAAGACAGAGGTAGGCTGGCATCTGCATGCCAACCAGAGAGGACTGCCAGCCAGACACCTGGCCCCTGGACTCCCAGCCTCCAGAAGCGTGAGAACATACAGCTCCCTTGTGGAAATCACCCTGTCGGTGGTATTCTGCGAGGACAGCTGTACCCGACATAAGTTCACCTACCACTGTCGGTTACCAACCAGCCTGCGTCGAACTGGGAGCTATGATTAGCCTGCCAATCACTGAGCTCACTCCGAGGAGACTAGAGGCCAGCCAGGCTGTGTGGGGCTAGAGGGGAGAGGGAGACACAGAACACGGGTGAGTGGAGGGTGTGTCTTGGGAGCTTTCACCAGCATGAAGTCATCAAGAGGGGCTCTGGAATTGGGGGGCTAGAGGACGGCCCCTACAGGAACTCAGAGGTTGGAGAAAAGACACGTCCTGAACTTGGTCCTAAGTGTCATGTTCTTGGGGTCAAAGTAGCCTCTGGAAGTGTGCCTGAGAGGGGAGCCTGCACGCCCCCCCCCCCCGCACCTCCTGGTACACATACAAACATCCACACACACTCAGAGATGGCGCAAGAGTGCGGGCCAGAAGGCCTGGGGCTGCTCTACCTAGTCTTCCGTGCACGGGAAACGAGGGATGTAGCTGGTCTAACCCCAGTCAAGAACCCCAGATCCCGCAGCTCTGGAGACAGTCTTGGGGACAGTAGTGTAGAAGGGGAGTGAAAGCAGATGAGGGAACCTCAGTCAGGGAACATTTCAAGTCCCCCCACCCTTTAGGCCCATTTCATACCTGGATTTTGTTTTTCCACAAGAATGGTCCTGGAAAATGCTGCTAGACCAAAATATCTTCCAAACCTAGAGAAACCTTCCCCTGAGTTCCCAAAGCGTCCTCTGTTGGGCGTGTTTGTTGCACAGATGTCCCTTCAGTGGGTCGAGTTTAGCCTACACCCCAGTGACTCGTGAGGCACACAGTCTGTGAAAGCCGGAATGCACCACACTTTCTGCCCAGGACGCTGTGTGGGTGGGTATTTTCCAACTGCTATTTCTAAAAGGTATTTCCAGTAGGTAGATTAAATCTTTTATAATATAAGTGATTGAGGGCTGCTAGGAAGTCATGGGAGGTAGAATCCTATCTGGTCGAAATTTCAAACAGTTCTCCAGGAGTCAAGCACAAATATGCCGTTTAGTGTTTCACCTTTTTCCATCCCACACATATCATTCCCTTTGAGGGTTTTACTAGCAAATCGTTTTTGGATTTGCTCAGATCTGAGAAATGTATTCTCATTCCTGAGTTATTATCTCATGTCCTTTCTGGTTGTTACTGTCAGTTGTTACTCGGTAGAATATGTGAAGTAAATTCATAAATAGTTTAAAATATGCATTGATCTGATTCTTTGGAAGAAAGGGGCTCCTGTAGCCATAACTGAATGGGATTAACTTTACTCAATAATTCAACCACCATAAGAACTCCGATTGCAAGAAAAGTCGCACGGCTGCCATAAACATCCGGGATTCTGAAAAGAAACAAAGAGCTAATCACTCTTATCAACAAGTTGTACTTCTCTTAGAAGCTCCTTCCTTCTTTAGGTGGATACTATACTCACAATATTTAATATTTATGTGGCCATAGTGCATTAATGCCTAAATGTGCATTAAGGTAACTTATTTGATTAATGAAATATTAATGAAAATGACAGTGGAATTGAGTCCGCTGGGTTTAAGGTGTTCCTAGTTTCTATTTTCTCTCACTGACAGGGGGAAAGGCTTCCCGCCCCCACCCTCACCCAATATGGGCATTTTCTGTTAAAATTCCATCATGCCAGGATAGAAGGCTCTGTCCGCCATGCAGGTTAGCGGAGGAAAAGAAACTGTCTGCTTCTACAGCAACCTAACCACAGAAGACACAGACATCGTGTCAGAATCCCAGCAGGTCACCCTCCTCCGCGGCCCCTGGTTATGAACCTTGCATTAGCTGCCTCCGTCAACCCTTAACATCACCCGGAGACAAGTCAACTTCAGAGCCTCCCGGAAAGGATGGCATGGCTTGCTTTTGGAAACAAGAGGAAGTGGAATTCTTCCACAGTTTAGGAATGAAGGGTTAAGGTCAAAGAATGGGCCTTCGTAGCTTCCAATCCCGGAAGATCGATAAGCCCAGAAAATCTTCCTGCCACTACTGTGGATGCCTCAGGGACCCAGAGGAGCAGGGCAGGAGTTTTCCTGAAGGCTGTGCCGCTTCGCTGCAAATACTAATAAAATGAGTCCTCTGGTAGACAGCTGTCATCTTGCACCAGAAAAAAGGAGACTGCCTACCAAAAGCGGAATGCAGTAAGTTTAAAAATAGACTTACAGGACAAAAGTGAGAGGATGCTAATTTCCAAAGGGACCTGTGCACTGAACAGAATGGAAGCTCTGTGAACCTGCTCTGCACCGGTAAATGTCAGAGATTCCCTTGGACTAGTACCTCAACAGTTAACGGTTCCACACTCAAGGAGTTAAAATGCAAACCTTAACACATGACTGCTTTTAAGCTGTGATGTCCTTAGAACAGAAGTTCTTATCAGAGGTCTGCACCGCACTTGGCAAACAAGACGTTGTACCTTTTAAACAAATAATTCATTAAGTAATTAAATTCGAGTGAGATTACTCTAATTAAATGCACACTGTTGTTGAATCATAATTTCTATGTGGTCTAGTTAAAGATGAACAATCTCTTGTTCCTGACCAAAAAGAAAGCTTTAAAAGAATTCCCCCGTGGCTGGAGGGATAGATTTACAGGCGCTCCACAGAGGTCATTTCAAGAAGGAAGAGACAGCCAGCGCAAGGGCCGGGTGGGGGCGGCTCTCCCGCCCGGAGATTCCGGAGATCCGGGCTGTGCGCCCTGGGTCCGGAGACAGGACTCTTCGGACCGGCAGGAAGCCGCAGCGCTCTGCTCCGCAGCTCGGTTTTCCGCGCGACCGGCCCGCGCACCAGGCCCGGAGCGGGACGCGCGCCAGAGGTCCGCGGCGCCGCAGCAAGGACCTCAGGACTTGGGCAAGGCCGGAAACTCACTTGGTCCCCCAAGCCGAGCTCGCCCGTCTCCCTCTGAGGGCCTGAGGACCCGCAGCCTCCGCGGTGCTCACGGGGGAGCCGCCGAAGTCCCCGCCGGCTTGGATGTGCGCCTCTTGGCTGCGGAGAGCCGCCGGTGGGCTGCGTGGCGACCCCGCATTCCTGTGTCAGACACGCGTTTCCTAGCGTTGCGGGGCGGGCAGCTACACCTGTACTGCGAGGATGTACATCGCCTTGCTCCGGGATGGCACTGATTCGGGACCGGTGAACTACACACACAAGCTAATTAAAAGCTGCATAATGGGGCCCTACAGGAACGCGGTAGAAAAACAAATAAATACGCGTGCAGCTGGCGCGGCGATGGTACCTCTGCCCCCGAGCAACCGTCTGGTGACATCAAATTATAAACCCTGGAAACCCTCACGCCGTTGCTGTTGATCACATTGGAGGCATAATGGAAATGATTTGGTTAATTAAGGGGAGGTTTATAAAATATTTACGTGTGTGCACACACATGTAATTCACTTCCTCTTACACTCGGGGACGGCGACATCGCGGCACTCCAGGCCAGGGGGCTGCGGTCCATTTTTTTACCTGCCATGGTGGGAAACTCCTGCCGGTTCCCGGGGCCCGGCGCGCCTGGGCCGCTCTTTTCCCGCCAGCCGCAGTCCAGGGAACCAAGCCCCCACTCCGCCTAGGCACCTGCTCTGCTTTGCCCGGTGGTGGGCCCTGCCTGGAGAGCTTCCAACCTTACCGAGTCCCTGGTCCCTTGCTTCCGGATGTTTTCCTCCAGGGATGTTCCCGGGGTCTCTTGGCGTCTCCTCCCGCGGGCCTCACTCTGGTCCCTCCAGGGCAGCCAGGCTCTCTTCTTGGCTTGAACCCAAGGGCAACTGGGCGCAGTCCCGCGCTCCTCTGGGCTTCTCGGCCATCCGCTGGGGAATGTTTGATTCTTGCCTCACTGTCTGTCATCGCGGAGCACGGTGGCTTCCTGGGTCCTGCTGGAGAAAGGTGCAAAGTCTAATGGGTATTTAACAAGACTCATAAATCAGGAGGCACGCATCAGGGCGGAGGGCAGAGCCGGGGTCGGGGCCCGGGCCAGCTCAGGCCAACAAGCCCCAGCACTAAGCTGCTGCCCTGCATGCCTGCCCACCCCCCCCCCCCCCCCCCCCCCCCCCCCGCGTCTGCACAGGAAGGAATGGCCATTTTGAAAGGCAGAGGAAGAGGCCTTGGGGCTGCCACTGCATCCCTGACACTGGTCTCTGACACCTGCTGGGTCCTTGGCGCCAAAGGTAGGTCCCCATGATGGCTTCCGGGAGAGGGGTAGTTTCCCACCAGCTGCATCCTCTTCTTCTGGGACCCAGGGAGGCGGAGCCTCAAAATCAGTGGAGAATTCTTTTGGAGGAAATAAAATTGTAAATGGGGATGCTGTTTGGTTTGTTTACTTTCATTCTCTTGTAAATATACAGGGGTGGGTAGGGAGCTTGGTGAACGCTAACCATCACTGGGGGCAGGGGAGAAAAAAAGGGACATGATCTTTTACAGACCTGGGGTAACAATTCCCTCCTATTTAGAAAACTAACCCCCCCACCCCACCAAAGGACAACCAGCAAGTAAACTTTTCATCAGGCCTTGAAACCTGCCTAAAAGTCAAGTTGGTCCAAAATCATATTTTTGCCAACTCTCCCTCCTCCAGCACACACCAAGTTCTCAGGGCCTTTCTCTCCTCCCCACCAGAGTCCCCTTCCTCCCTCCAAAACCACTCCTGCACTATACTGGGGTGCCCTACCCATCCATGGGTGCACCCAGAGGCCCAGGTCCTAGCTGGGGAGGCAGAGGGTCCAGGTTTTCCAATCACAAGGTCTTGACCAACTGCCACTGCCCAGCTCTGCCCTGTTGTGCCAATGCCTGCTCCAACTCCCAGGGTCCCTACATGGGTTTCCTTGCACTCCCTCCCCAACCTGAGCCCCGATGCAGGCCCCTTGGAGCTCAGATTCGGCTGGCCTCACAGCGACCCCTAGGTCTGGCTTTGTATTGCTGATTCCACTGTCCTGCCTCTGGCTCAGTGGTTGGCCAGTCAAAGGAAAGGGGAGGGGCTCCTCCAGCCCAACCCCTGGCTCTGGCCTCCAGACCAGTGACCGGCCTGCAGGAACCACCCTTATCAGGTAGGGATAGTGGCTGAGGGTCTGTGAAGGTGGTTTCTCCCTGTTTGTGTATCCAGAGTGGCGGGGCTGTGGGTGGGTAGAACCCCACAGATTGACCCCAGCCAGTGCCACTGAGCCCCAAAAGGACCCTATATGGCCCCCCTATTCTCCCCTGCCTCTCTGCCGTCAGAGGGATGGCCAGGACCTGGGAAAGGCTGAGCAAGTGAGCTGGGCCATCTTCTTTGGGGAAAGTTCTGGAATCCCCTTAAGCAGATGTTCAAGTGAGGCCCAAAGTCCAGGCTCAGGCACAGCTGAGGGGCCTTCCCTCCTCAGCCCCACTATTTGATGCTGACAAGGATTAGTGGGATGGTGGGAGGATACTTTCATGGGGATGCTGAGCCAGGAAGTTTGGGATCCTTCTCTTTTCCTCCTGATCTCCAATGGGATGGTTTGGAGGCAATCCCCACCCCACCCCCCTGCCTCCTTTTTTTTTTTTTTTTTTTTGGTCAGATTGTTTCCTAGTTTTTTTTTCATGCAATTTTTTGGGTAAAGCTAAAGGAGAATGAAGGGAGGAGATGAGCCAGGGGTACAGTCGGGCTCTGCTGGGATCCAGCCTTGGCCTTGGGCAGAGAATGAGCACAGTCAGCACTAAGGCACCTTTCTAGGGCTTCGCAGAGGAAGTCTACAGGCCTTTTAGAGTCAATTTTCCTACTACTGGGGAATCCCCAGACATGGTTTCCAGGAGGGCCCTTCCCACTCACCTCCCTGTCTTCTAGAACCTTCTATGTTTTCATAATGCAGATGGAGGTGAGACAGGCAGGGCACAGCATGTGACGGTGGGGGTTGTTCTGGACAAAATCTGCTGCCCACATCTGGTTCTGCCGCTCCAGCCGCCCTGGAGTGAGCTGCTGTGGGCTGCAGGGGGAGAGTGCGGAGGAGGATCCATCTGTGTGGCTGAATCCCTACAGGGACAAGGGTCTCTGGCCTAACATTCTGCCTGCCCTCCATGTCATGGAAGAGGGTTTATCGAATCTGTATTTACCTGTCGCCCTGAAATGTGACACTGAGTTTTGCTGAACTGAACAGTGCTGGGGCTGGCCCATGGCTCTGTTTGAGATGTAGGAAAGAGGGGTTTGGCAGGCAGGGAGGTCGTGGGCTGGGGAGCAGGAGGAAGCTTTGGTTTATTGACTTCCAGGACTGGGAGTGGCTCGTACTGAGCTCTAGCACCCCAGAATCTGCTTCAAAGCAGGAAAGGTCCCCAGACGTTGCAGGAGGTTTCTAGCCTGAGCAAGGGCTAGTTAGTGGAGGTTGGGTGGAGGGCGGTAGGGGAAGGAGTGAAGGGGCAGCACGGACAGGAAGAAAACCTGAGTGGAGAAATAAAAGCCTGATTACAGATCTGTTAATTAGTAATTACCATTATGGGCGTCATTGTTGCTAATTATAGACAGTGGTTCTCTGTCTGTCCTCAGGCCCCAAAACGGGAAATGAGAGCCTTCCTGATGGTGCAAGAGTCACTGGGCCTCCAGGATCCAGGGGCCTGGAGGGGGAACTAGGGGATGGGGTCCAGGTCAAGGTCCAGCAACACAGCCTGCTGAGGACCCAGCCCAGGGGCCAGCCTCAACTCCGCACCGGAACTGGCTCACACCAAGGCTGACACTGCAGCGCGTGGGTGAGATTCCTGTGGGGTCCAGTGTGCCAGCCCCTCACAGCAGGGAGTACACCAGGGGAGGGGGCAGGGGGGACGCTGGCCGCTTATTCGGAGATATGAGAAAAGTGGCCCCAGGAACCAGGACCGGTACCCCCTGCACAGTCCCTACCCGGTCCGCGGGGATCTGGCCGGCGAGTGGAAAGGCAGAAGCGGCCTGCCCCACAGAAGTCCGGTGCACAGGGAGGCGAGGAGGACCGTGCACCAGTGGTCTGAGCCCTAGCAGGGACCTGGACCTCCTCCTGGAGCTCGGGGTTCAGGGCAGTGTCCGCTCGCTCTCCCCGCCGGCTGAGGATGGAGAAGAGAGAGGGAAGGAGAAGAGGGACACCGTGTCCCTGGGCCGGTCGCGGCGTCGCCTCGGGCGGGCGCTCTCCTCATAAGTTTCCTCCCTGCGTGTGCACACCTAGCGGACAGACGAGGGGCCCCCGAGCCACACTTCGTTCCTCTCGTCGCCGGGGTGGGGGCGGAGCGTTTTCCTCGCGCGGCGGCGGTGATTTTCCAGCAAAGAAAAGGTCCCCACCCTCACCTCCAAGAATCTGTCACTGTGGACTGCCTCCGCTTTGCCATTGAAGTGGCTTCTCAGCGGCCCTTTCTTGAAGTTTTCCCAATTAGAGAGCGCGCAGAGCTCGGCGGCTTCCCGCTTCTCCCAGCGCAACGAGGCCAGTCGTGGCCAGGGGACCCGGGAATACCTCGTGGGGGCCGCGGGGCCGCCACGCCCGCGTCCGGGGGTCACGCCACGCCGGCTTCTGCGGCGCACGGAGCGCGCGAGGGGCCACTTCTGCCCGAGATGTCTGGGGGAGGCCAAGGCAGCGGCGGCCTCGGAGGAGAGGCCCTTCCCGGCGGGCTGTCACCGCCCCAGCGCCGGCACCGCGGCCCCAACGGCGGAAGAGCAGGCGCCGAGACGCTTTCCTGAACGAGCAGACACTCCTCGGCTTCGAGGCAGCAAAGCCAGGGTCCAAGAGCCGCGCGCCGGTGCGGACCGCCCTCAGACGGCCGCGGGAGCCGGGCGGCGGGGAGCCCGTGGCCGCGAGGCCCGCACCAGCCGCCCGGCCCGCTCGCGCGCCCACAGCGGGCGGAGGTGGCCCGGCCGGCGCGGAGCACCACGTGCGAGCCGGGAGGGGCGGGAGCGGCCGGCGAGGGCGGGCGGGAGGCAGGGAGGGGGCGGGAGGGGAGCCGGGGGGCGGGGCCAGCGCTCGAGGGGATGCCAATCAAAGCATCAACTTCAAATTGTGTCTGAAAGCCCCGCCGCCGAGCGGAGGGCGGCCGCCGCAGTCGGCGCGGGATCGCGGAGCCGGGCGCAGCCGGGAGCCGGGCGCCAGCGAGCACCGGGCCGAGCAGCAGCCAGCGGCCCCCGCCTCCGGGCCGGCCCGAGCGCGCCCGGCCGGCCGCCCGCCCCCCCCCAGCCCCGCCGCCGCTCCCCCCGCCGCGCGGCCGCGACCCCCGCCCCGCCCCCGCCCCTTTAATACTCGCCCGGCGCCGCCGCCGCCGCGGATCCGCGGACATGTCCTTCCCGCAGCTGGGCTACCCGCAGTACCTGAGCGCCGCGGGGCCCGGCGCCTACGGAGGCGAGCGCCCGGGGGTGCTGGCCGCGGCCGCCGCCGCCGCCGCCGCCGCCTCGTCGGGCCGCCCGGGGGCGGCGGAGCTGGGCGCGGGCGCGGGCGCGGCCGCCGTCACCTCGGTGCTGGGCATGTACGCGGCGGCCGGCCCGTACGCGGGCGCGCCCAACTACAGCGCCTTCCTGCCCTACGCCGCCGACCTCAGCCTCTTCTCGCAGATGGTGAGTGCGCCGGGCCTGCCGCCGGCCCTCGCCTCGGCCGCCTCCCCCGGAGGCCCCGGAGCCCCGGGCGCGGGTGGTCGGGCGCCGAGCCGCGCGGGAGCGGGGGCGGGCGGAGCCGGCCCGGCAGGGGAGCGCGGGAGGCCCGGCCCGCGGGTCCGGGGCGGCGGGGGAGGCGGCGGGATCGCCGGGCGGCGGGCGGGCGACCGCCCCTGCGGCTCGGCCGGGGGGAGGCGGGAGGCCTGGGCCGCGAGCGGGGTCTAGGCGGGAGTCGGGGAGGCCGAAGGAGCAGGCCCGGGGCGCGCGGCTCGAGCCGGAGGTTGGGGCCAAAGTCGCTCGCGCCCCCGGCTCGGCGGTGGCGGCGGGGCGGGCGGGCGGGGTTCCGGCAGCTCGGCCGGGTTCCGCAGGACGCCCGGGACTGGCCGGCGGACCCCGCTCGCGCGACCTTTCTGGCTTTGGGGCCGGGCGGGGGAGACCCCGCTTCCTCCCGTTTTGGTGGACCTCCTCCAGTTGTGTCCGACTTTGCAGAGGGAAGAGTTGATCGAAATAAACCCAACAATGGGGAGACCAGACGGGCGGGATGGGGTCTCTTAATGGAGAGTGTGCAAATTTGAGATGCGGGGGGGACTGGAAATAATTTTGGCGTGTGAGACGGTGTTTGCTTTGACTTTCGTAAGTTGCCAAAGTTTTCATTTCTTTTGCTCCGAATGAAAAGCACTTTTCTTTCCGCGTTACATAATGGAGGATTAAAGAAAACAGTCCCTGGGCTTAAAATAAATGCTGTCCTCTTAGTCTCCCGTCCCAGTGGGTGTCAGATGGGGGAGGGAGCTGCAAATTTAATTCTCCGCGGGGCATTCGCCATTCTGTCGGCCCAAAGGATCCATTTTCCTTGGTCTGACTGCAAGGTCGCGCTTAAACTTCGGGACACTGCTGAATTGCGCGCGGGGCGCTGGGGGCCAGGGAGGCAGCCCCCTCTTGCGCTGGAGCGGGAGGGATAACGCAATTTGCAGGCACCCCCCCTTGCCTCCCCACTCTCCCCAGAAGAGGCAGGGAATAAATACCCGCCAATTGTAAGCGAGAAAAGCGGCTGGTGTGTTTTTCTGTAACTTTTTCTTGTAGTTTTGGAAAGAAAAGGCTATTTCTCTGAAAGCGGCCCCAGCTGCCTTTGAGATCGCTTGCTATCGAAAAAGATCAGCTCCCATTTTGTTCTGGCGGCTGGGGATGCCAGGGAAGCGATGAGAGATTTACAAGGTATCCTTTCAAAAAGAATTCCGGGTGGAGAAGAGGCCAAAATGCCGTCCTTACAGTTACAACCAAAATACTTAGAAAAGTGCAAAGTGCATTTTGCAAAGATTGGGCAAAAACGAAATCTGGCCAGGGCAACCTTTTCTCAGTGGCATCCACCACTAAACTAATTAGTCAAATACATATTCTGCTCTTTATAACTTCTCATTCTGGAAACCCCCTCTGCTAACGTAAAAACTGGACCATGTTTATTTGGAGAATTATAAATTTTAACAGAGATTTTGAATACAGATGTGTGCTATTTGGGAACACCCTCCCCCCGCAAACGAGTATTTGTAGGAGAGAAAGGGAGCTGTGTGGTGGGACTCTGCACCCATTGTATGCGGCAGGGAAGGAAGATACTAGATCTTTCTTTCTTTCTTCCTTCCTTCTTCTTCTTTTTTTTTTTTTTAAACTAAGGGGAAACAATATAGAAATAGCCCCCAAAAGGTGTGAGTATCTGCTAGTGCTTTCCCTCTGATTCTCAGAACGTAAGCCTAAATGCAAACTCTTGATTCTAGGCCTGGGTTTCCAAGCCGTTAAGATTGGGGATTTGGAAGTCAAAAGATAAAATTGTGAGTGAATGTCTGTCTGGGCAATTTATGGTAATAATGAGGCCTAATGAGGTTGTTAGAAAGATAAAATGTTATTTACCAAAAAACCTGATGGGATAATTTGACTTACTGTGTTTTACTACGGATGATAAAAAGAATATTGATCACAAATAAATCACGGCTTCTAAATGCCTGAGAACAGTTCGAGCTTCCTCTTGCCGCGTCACAGTCAAACTTCAGAGATAAAGTAAGTGAGAACAGGCCTAGGAGAGCGGTTCCCTTTCTCACAGCCGGGACTCCTAGGCCCTCGTGTTAATATTTTACCGGTTAAGCCCTCCTTTTGTATTAAAAAAAAATGGTGTTTTTGTTGTTGATGATGGCCAGGATTAAAATTTTAAATTACCTGTCACCATGGTCGACCTTTAAGTGTGGGGAACCATTAAATGCAGATTAATTTGGGAGCTAAAAAGAGTGTGCTTTCATTTTAAATTGCTGGTGGATTTGGACCCAAAGAAAACCTGAGATGGTTTATTTTGCTTGACCCCCTCAGGGTCGAAGGGAGGGGCTTTAGGCTTTAGGTTCTGTACGTTTGGAGAAACTGTTTTATCAGCGCAGTTAAAAGGTTTTCCCTTCTCGTTAGTGTGAGATAAACTTGGAAATTAGGGCTGTTGAAGTTGTTGTGAGTGGTGGGGGTGAGGGGACTGAGGGACGCCTGGGGAAATTCTGTGGGGCCACGGCTCCCGCTGTGGTCTTCTGGAAATGCATGGATTCTGGAACTTCTCTTGAGTGATGAAATAAAATAAAATAAAGATAAAAATAAAAGCAAAACCAAACCAAAACAAAAAACAACCTCTTCATGATGGGTGAAGTTCAGTTTCTAGAGGCAGCTGATGGTTCGGATGGTCACTTCCTCCCTGGGTGGTGCACTGGGGGCCTTCATGTTCTCCAGCAGACAAGAGCCGCTCTTCCCCAATTTCCCAGTTTTGGGGACTCATCGCGCTCTCTCTCTCTTTTTCTCCTCCCCCCACACCCCTGCTCTCTCTCTCTCTTCCCTCGGTGGGCTGTGTGGTTGCAGGGCTCACAGTATGAACTCAAAGACAACCCTGGGGTGCACCCTGCCACCTTCGCAGCCCACACGGCGCCAGCCTACTACCCCTACGGCCAGTTCCAGTACGGGGATCCCGGGCGGCCCAAGAACGCCACACGCGAGAGCACCAGCACGCTCAAGGCCTGGCTCAACGAGCACCGCAAGAACCCGTACCCCACCAAGGGCGAGAAGATCATGCTGGCCATCATCACCAAGATGACCCTCACGCAGGTGTCCACCTGGTTCGCCAACGCGCGCCGCCGCCTCAAGAAGGAGAATAAGGTGACGTGGGGTGCGCGCAGCAAGGACCAGGAGGACGGAGCCCTTTTCGGAAGCGATACAGAGGGCGACCCCGAGAAGGCCGAGGACGATGAGGAGATAGACCTGGAGAGCATTGACATCGACAAAATCGACGAGCATGACGGCGACCAGAGCAATGAGGATGATGAGGACAAGGCCGAGGCCCCTCGCGCGCCGGCGGCACCGACGGCCCTTGCTCGAGACCAGGGCTCGCCGCTAGCAGCTGCCGACGCGCTCAAGTCCCAGGACTCGCCCCTGGGCCTGGTCAAAGAGGTCCCGGAGCCTGGCAGCACGCGCCTGTTGAGTCCCGGCGGCGGGTCGGGTGGCCTGCAGGGCGCCCCGCACAGCAAGCCCAAGATCTGGTCCTTGGCCGAGACCGCCACGAGCCCCGACGGCGCGCCCAAGGCCTCGCCGCCGCCTCCCTCAGGCCATCCCGGCGCGCACGGCGCCCCCGCGGGCGCGCCGCTGCAACACCCCGCCTTCCTGCCCAGCCACGGACTGTACACCTGCCACATCGGCAAGTTCTCCAACTGGACCAACGGCGCGTTCCTCGCGCAGGGCTCCCTGCTCAACATGCGCTCCTTCCTGGGCGTTGGCGCGCCCCACGCCGCGCCGCACGGCCCGCACCTGCCCGCGCCGCCGCCGCCGCCGCAGCCCCCAGTCCCTGTTGCTACGGGGGTGCTCCACGGTGACAAGGCCTCTGCTCGCAGCAGCCCCGCGCTCCCAGGTATGGCGCCCCGGGGGTGTCCGCCTCGCCCCGGGCCAGGAATCCGGAACCCAGGAGTAGCATGGTCGGGGTGGGGGGCGGGAGGCGCGCCGGCTCCGGAGGGGAGAGGCGGTGGCAGCCCAGCCCGGGGATGAGCAGTGATCTCTGCCTGGATTAGGGCACTGAGGCCGAGGCCCGGGGCCCGGTGGGGAGAGCTGAGTTCTACCTGCAGGCCTGCCTAGTGAGGGGTGAAGGGTTCTCTAAGACCCTGTCCTCGCTGTGAGAGGGAGGGAGTGGGTGGGGGAGAGGCTCGCGCACTTCGGCAGCAGCCCCTCCGCCCCTCACACTCACACACCCGTCTCTTAACGCTCTGCTTCTCCCTCTCCCTCGCAGAGAGAGACCTCGTCCCCAGGCCGGACTCGCCGGCTCAGCAGTTAAAATCTCCCTTCCAGCCCGTGCGCGACAAGTGAGTGCGGTTTGCTTGTGCCCTCCGTGTGGTCGGGGCCGGCGCGGAGCGGGGATGCGGGGATGCGGGGAGGAGGGCACGGGGGCTGGGGGGCCGAGCAGGGCCGGGCGGCAGCGTCCCACAGTCGTTGCGGAAGGGGCGCTGTCCGCCAGCGCTGGGCGCGGGGCCCTCTGGCTGCTCCGGGTTTCTCCCGACCCGGGAGCCGCGCGCGGCCGGCGGCCACGCCCCCAGGCGCTCGGCCGGCAGAACCGGTGCCGCCGGGCTGCGGCGCCCATCACTGACTTCTCGTGCTTCTTGTCTCGCTGTGTTTCCCCCGCAGCTCGCTGGCCCCG